TTTCTGCCATTATAGAGTTACGCCTGTAATACAGTGCTTGATGCATTTCTTCCTATGCTTTAGGTTCAGGTGAAAGTCCTTTCCTTTTGGGCTCTCTGTGACAGAAATCTCTTCCTTTCAATGCTGGACAAAGCTGCTAATGACGGCCACTGGTTGGTGTTTAACAACAGTCATCTGTTCGAACAACTGGATGATGACGTAGTGGCTAAACTCAGTCATTTAATCTCCTCAGTCAAAGGTACTTTATAGAACTTGTCCAGTCTTTATGTTTGTGGATTCTTCTGCCTACTTATGTGCCTCATCCTATTATACAGAGAAGCCTTGTCTGATTCACCCCAGCTTCCGATTGTGGTTTATAACTCAAGAAAACACATCACACCTCATACCAGGTAGATCTATTATTTTGCTGCTTTTTCAAATATTCATTTCCATCTGTTCTATTTTACTCTAAATGTGACCCTAATTTATGAAATGAAGATCTTGTTGTACTGAAGCATACTTTTGTCTTGACAGCGAACAACTGTTAAAAGTAGCATCACTGTTGGTCCATTCAGCTTGAAGATTAACATGTAACTCTGTACTTTAGTACACTTCCAACCTTTTACAGTGTAAGGAGAGCTATTTTTCACAGGTATATGTGAAAGATTCCTAAAGTGAAGCTTTTGCACAGACCATGTCATGGTTTGTTTTTAGTGACAGAGTGCTTTATGTAGGTCAGCAGTGACCAAAGGTGCACTTACACATTTTGTTTCTCCTATGCTCCTGTGAGTAATATTGGCTGGCGTGCTGGAAATGTGTGTTATAAATGTGCTTTCAGAAAAACAGCTACTCCAGTTTTGCTCTTGTTGTAATAATCATAATGATTGAAATGACTGTCTTTATTTTTAAACAGCGTCAGTGCGAATGTGTGCTCTGCATCTGGTCTGTGACTCTTCCTGGGATCTGAAGGAGGAGCTGAGCTGTTCTTTGCGACAGGTGGCATCCATCAGTCAGCGACATAGGGGGGTCATGGCTGACAACAAGTCACTCCTCCGCTGCGCTATCTTTCACTCTGTCTTGGTGCAGCGACAGACCTACAAGTATTTAGGCCAGGGAAGAATCTATCACTGGTAAGGAAGTAAATATGCATTGTATAAATTGTTTATGATGGAGAGGTAGAGGTGTTGTATGATGTTTAAAGATTTATAATCTAAATAAATGTATAGATTTTCTTCTTGTTTTTTTGAAGGAGTCAGGAGGACCTTCATGCTTTAGTGGATGCATTTATTCATGTTGCCCATCTGTGCCATGACAAGACTAAGGTTTTGCAATATTTAGCAGGTGAAGCAATATGAAAATATAAAACACCCTAATTCAGTTACTGCTCGATTAATTAACTTTTGCTTTCCATTCGTAGTCAGTCTAGTGTATGGTGGCCATGTGACAGACTCTGCAGATTTGGAGGTGTTGGAGGACATTGCCAAGACCTGCTTCACTACAGCTTCACGTCACTTGAACAGCGGACCGCACATCCTTTCGAAACTTGTCAGAAGTTCTGGTCACTCTGGTAACTGGACATTTTTCTACCAATTTAACTAACATTCACTGTTGACGAGAAATGGTTCAATTTTTTCTTTAAAGCTCTCAGAGCACTGGTGCATCAATACTGCACCAAAATGAGACTGAATTCCGGACTTAGAGCTGGTGTGTGTGTGTGTGTGTGTGTGTGTGTGTGTGAGAATGCTTTTCTGTTGGCTGCTCTGTGTAAAATAGATTTGGGATGTTTTATGCCCTCAGATTTGTCTGGACAGCTGCAGGTCGTGGAGCAGGGTCTTTGGGAATCAGCAAACATCAGTGAGCCCGTGGTGCTGGGCTTTAATGCCGACATAACGACTGAGATAATCAAGATCACCAGCTACAACATGACCATGTTACTGCGGACCTCGCAAACTCCCCTTCGATCAGTAAGGCGTTTTAGCACCAAAGAAAAGCAGCTTGCTACGCTGCCAGCGTTCAGTGATGCCAGAGTCAGACTGGAGGGTCTGAAGCGCTACCTCACAAGCAAGAATGAAAGTGCCGTAACAAATGCAGGAGCTCTTCCTCGTGGTCCTGTGCGTGACTTCCTCCAAGCTGAGTGGGATGATCTCATTGACTCGGTGTCTTTGCTCCTCTCACAGCTGCAGCAGCCTGTTCAGTATTCGCTGACCTTCGCTTCCCTCCTCAAGCTCACTGACTTGTCTGGCTTGGAGAGGAGGGCAGAGTTGCTCAGTGCATATCTGTGGCACCATGATGCTTCAGATCCACCTGGTGCTTATCGACTATCTGCTTTTAAAAATGCCAGAGGCCTGCTGGTGGCAATGATGAGAGAGGCTGCTCAAGTAAATCGTAAATATATCACTGATATAATTCTACAGTTCCAGGTAAAGCATTCAAATTAAAAATTATAGTAAACACTTATTTCCTTACCACTAAACATGTTAGTAAGGATAATAAGCTCTGATGTTCTTGTCCACACAGGTTCTGTCTTACAGCACATACCCCATCTCACTTCCTCTGGATGCTGTGTATTTGTGTGGCCTGGAACTTAAAGGGGCATCATGGGATACACAACTGCAAGTCCTACAGGACACTGTCTCTCCTCAGTCTTGCTCAGTACCACTTCTTTGTGTTAAAGCTCAAGTCAGGAGCACGAACAGTTCCCATGATACAGTCCCCTGCAAAAGTTCATATTTAATGGATAACAGGAATGTTCACTGTGCAGCCGTCGTTCCCTTAACTACTCCTCAGGTACCAATCTACCACTGCCCACTCTATCTGGACGAAGGGTTGGAGAGTGGAAGCTCAGGACTGGCTGATGTTAACATTATCACAAAAGTCCCCCTTCATACCAAGCTAGATCCTCTTCTGTGTAGTTTGAGAAGGGTGAGACTAGTGAGTAGACTCTGACTGTACTCAGCTGCCTTATCTGCTGTTATTGTTAAATGAAATGATGCAAAGATTGTAGTATACAGTATGTCATGAGGACTGATGCTCCTGTGATTTTATGTGAACCTTCAAATAAATTTATAAATCCACTTCCATGTCTCTTCATTCTTGTTCTGAAAAAAAGAAAGAATTTAACAAACTTCTATAAAGTGATTATTTCAGCTCCACACTGTCTTCTCTTCTTTTGGATGACATTCCCTAAAATAGTTGAAAGTACTTTTCTGAATAAAATGTGACTCAATCTGTAGATGGCAGACGCACAAAAGTACACACAGTAGCCGTAAGCATAAAGATGTTTATGCCAGAATATTTATATTTATGCAACATGTAAAATGTTTCAGGTTTGGTTACCGATTACTAAGCAAATCCTTTCTTTTACTTTCTCTCTTTAGGTAACATGGACAGGCACCACTATGAAACATTTGAGAAATTTGTCAATAATACTTTTCTGCTACACCTTGACAATGGGAGGGCGTGAGTATTTCTGTTCTGTATGTGTTGCTCATATACTGGGCAGAGGTGCTGGTCAGACTGTAACTTTGACATAGCTGACTCTGGATCTGTCCTCTTTTGCAGATTTGGGCGTCACTCCAAAGATGAGCCTTCGATCTTAACTCCCTTAAAACAGTGCTGCAGGTACAAACCAGACCATCACATGCATGTAGTGAATTACTTATACATCAGGTAAATATTCAGTTCAGTTTTATCTATATAGCATCAAATCACGCCAGCATTCACCTTATGGTGCTTTATATTGCAAGGATAAAGACTCTACAGTAATAGATTTACAATCAAGACGACCCTTTATGAGCAAGCATTGGCAACAGTAGGGAGGAAAAACTCCCCTTTAACAGGAAGAAACCTCCAGCAGAACCAGGCTCAGGGAGGGGCAGCCAGCTGTCGTGGATGGTTGGGGTTGAATGGAGGGAGACAGAACAAAGTTCCTTGGCTTAGTTCAGAAAGTGTGAGAGAGCAATCACATTGCACCTTAACCATCAGATGCTGTTCCTCTTTCTCTTTTTTCATCCTATTCTCTTACCCTGTCATTTGGCAATTTTGAAACATCCCAAAGTAACTTCCTTTTTCCATTTATCTTCTTTTTTAAAAACTTTGCTGTCTCTCCAGAATCCGTCGCTCCACTTGGCTACGCCTGCGTCTCCTGACTTTGCCTCAGTATCGATTAAGCGATGTTATGAGAGCGTCACTTTCTCGTGATCCCCTTCACAAAGTGGCCCCACTTCTGGCAGAGCCCCACCTTACGGCTTTAGATCGACGTTTGAAAACTGTCCTAGGAACTGTAAGTCGCTGTCAAAAAGAGCAGAAAAGAAATGACAACGGTGAAGACGTCTTCTATGAGGACACGGCCTCTCTGAAAGACGTGGCCACTCCCTCTGGTTAGAGCAGTCTCACTTACCTGTCACATTATATCTGTTTATTTCATACTTCTGCAACATGATGCAGGAGTTCAGAGTTATAAAATATCATTTATAGGAGCTATATAATTTTAAAACTCACTTTGATTAGTAACTGTCAGACACATGATGATAAATCATTAACACAATGTAATGCAGTAGTATTGTCATAAATAGGATAACATTTTTCGGGGGCTAGCTAGTCAGTTCCCTGCAATATTATGTGTCCTTCTGCTCTGTGGGCCTGCCTGGTACTGGCTCTTTTTGTATGTGTGTTTTCAACACTTTTGGTACAAAACACCTAATGAAAAGACTTTCGTGTATTTGGTTTAGTGCAGCTATAGCATTAAGTACACCAAACAGTGACTCTGAGTGAATCTGAGCTTTAATTCAAGTTTTCGTCTACATTTAATGTTTTTTCTGTTTTTCTGGTTCTTAACTTGGTTTGTGTTAATAAAATGATTGCTAATAATTCCACTTGAAACTGTTTCAGCTTTATATAAAGAACTCACATGCACTGGCTGAAGATTCAGTGATGATTTAGTTTAGTTTTTTGAAAGGGAACTAACACGTTTCCTGGAAAAGTTCCGCTTATCAGATTGCATCCGAATGCAGACAAAATACACAACAGAAGAATGTAAAGGTCATTTCATGAAGTAAAAAGTCACTTGGGGCTGTGAAGAGTAGAGGGGAGCGACCGGAAAACATAGCAGACGTAAACAGCAAACAGAAACCAGGACAGAATAATTGGAAAGAAGAGAAGAAACTTAAAACAAAGTCTAAAGTGGAATACTTTTTTCTCTCTCAAGATTCAAGATTCTTTATTTGTCACGTGCATGGTTATACAGGCAGTGAAATGTGACCTGATACGCTCCTCGACTGTGCAAAGAAAAAAAAGAGAGACAGACAGAACTTTATATACAGTGAATAAGTATATACAAGGAGGACATTATATGCGGCAAGTGGGTGAGTTATGTACATTATATAAATAGAAATAAAATAAGATAAAATAATCTGGAAATTTACAGCTTGTGTACATTGCGAGAGGAGGGTGTTAAAGTGTCTTGTGCTATAGCGAGGCCAGAAGGATTCAGGATGATGAGAATGAGCTAATGAGTCCTGTCTCAGTCACTTAAGGATGATGGGGGTGATTCAACACACGAATGTCCTGAGGATAAAAACTCCTCTTGAGCCTCTCTGTTCTTGTTCGGATGGTGCGAAACCTTCTGCCTGATTTCAGAAGCTGGAACAGTTCGTTGCTGCTCACTCTCTTCTACTCTTCTACTTCCACACATAAATGTCCCCATACGACGAAAAATGTTTGCATTAAAACTTTTACTTCATTTTGTGAGCTAACTATATTTAAGTAATTTGTACCTTTTTAACACGGAAGTTTGTTTCTCGTCAGTCAAACAAACTGTGGCAGGATTTTCCCTCAGGTGTGAGGATACATCACGGATGGTTAGGCAGCTGGCTGTCCTCCTTCTCCTTTCCTTTCAGGGCTCCAATCAATAATTTACCTTGCTCAGCCGTATCGATGTCAGCTACTCCCTTACCTCTTCTCTTACCCTTGCTCACTTGCTTTTTCCAGAAAAACTGCTGATGACATAAGGGTAAAAGAGCTCATTAACGAATGACTGAAAAAAAGGAGAAGGAACTGTCAGATAGGTGTTATTGGTCTTTGGGAAAACAGCAGAAGCAGTGGGAGGATATGTGAAGGTGACTTTCTCCGCCTTAAGACGCTGATATACACGGGACAGTAAACTTCTGGGAATACAGACTTTTTACAGAAGTTTAGTTTTTTTCTGACCAGCTTTTTCTCATTTTATCGTTAAACCTGAAATCGATCAATATGTCTGGAGTCAGTAGTGATCAGCTGCACAAATCAACTTTATCTGTCTATTCGGTGAGTTTACATCATGTTTCTTTTGTTTTTGTTCATTGTGTTGAAACCTGGGGACCGGTATAGTATTCATTATTTAAAGAAGGATTTTGTATATTTAAACTAGGCCGGGGCGCACTTGGAGGTGAGTATAAAAATACATTTTAGCGTTACGCTTCAAGTCACTGCTGAGTTCACCTGGTGTGGTGCTCAGTTTGTATTTCGTGTGTTTCTGCAGAACTTGATGGAGCACTTCAACCCAGGCCTTCAGAAGCTCGTTGCTCTTGGAAACAGCTACATCAAGGCCTTTCAAGGTGAGCGAGGTTGTGAATGACTGAAAGGAGCAGTTACACTGTGGAGAATGTGGATTTTGTTGTTAGCACTAGTGTAGATGTTGGATCAGGATTGTACAGAGATGATTGAAGTAAAGTCTGCCCATGGAGACCCTAAGAAGGAGGCCACAAGCTGCAATTAAAATCCAAAAAATGTCACAGGATTGTAAATGTCTATCAAGGACCTACTCATTTGTAGAAGTTATTTGGTTAGGAAAAGATATAAAGAGATTTGTACATGTGAATATGAAAATATGATTTGATAAAAATAATCTCTATTTGATTGCTGACATTAAGCAGAATTTAAAACCTTTTTTTCTCCAGAGATGAGAGATTTTTTTTGTGTGCATCACCTTTTATTTGCATGTCCGAGTTGTCCGACTTTTCCATTGTACATTTTCCAATCTTAATCACGTGTGTCACATTGCATAGTGCAAGCAGCATGCATCATTCATGCATCTCTGTGCCTGATAAAACAATTCAGGCTATCAGCCACAGGGCAGTGGGGCTGTGCCGTAAAACTATACCAAGTGGCACGAGGCTATTCTTAGACCAGAATCACATATCAAATAACACTGCCAGTCTTTTAAAAGTAATGAATAAAAGCAGAACTGTTCGACACAATAAGAAGCAGTTTAAGTGGTTGTGATGTTACTGTAGAGTTTATAGATTTGTCAGTTTGATTTGTCTAAATGTGAAAAGCTACATTTGTCTCTCGATGTCTGTATGTTGCAGCCTTAGGCGTTTGCAGTGAGGCCTATTTCAGCGCTGTGGCTAAGATGGGCGACCAGGCACTTCACACACTTTCATCTCGCTCCCTTGGTACGAGTGTGTGTATTTGTGACTCATTACTAAACAGGTTTCACCCTTGATTTATTGCTTTCATTAGAGAAGCATCGTTATCAAGAGTGCTCTACTGAGACACTGCACTTGCACAAACACAGTCTAGATTTTAAACCACACAAAGTAAATTTCAATTGTACTCTCCTTCTTTTCATACATATAGGCTACATATACGTGTGTGTGTGTATTTACTGATTTTTTTAGCTAGTGTGTGTGCACTATATTTTATGGAAGCTTTCCCTTTGTCATTAGAGATGTGTGTTATCATTCTTCAGCGGTAATTAGCTTTATGCTACTATTAAGACAGTGTTGGCTAGCATACATGTGGTTTCGGTAGGTTGGCTAACTGTGAAGGTCAGGGAACCACAGCGTGACCAGGAGCCCTATTGAGTGGCAGCCACTGAATTATAGATGAGGGCAGTCTTTCAGCTCCACTCAGTTTATTAGCTCAACCGCAATCCTTGACAATAGACAAGGCCGGAGGCGCCCACAGTATATAGGGTTGGCTAACTTTCCACCATCGTAGCAACCGGACTCGTTCATGGCTCAAGTGGTTTTACACTGTGTTAAAGTTTTAGATCAAATTACTGACATTCCCAATAAGATTTCGCTTTCTTCAAATATTTTTCCGTACAGAATTGTTTTTTTTTCTTTGAACAGGGGATGTCCTGATCCAGATTTCAGAAACACAGAGGAGGCTCACTGCAGAGATGGAGGGAGTGGTTGGTACATTTCCTCAGTAAATGCTGATCCCTGCAGTCTTTAAAATACTACATACAGCAGTTCTACTTCTGTGAATTTAATTTTGTTTGCTTGAAAGTTTTTACCAAACTGAAAATAATGCTTGGTGGGTATTAAGCTATATTTGACAGAATAATAACCGCTATACATTATTTTTCAAATGATGAGTAAAAACAGCTACAATTAGTATTTTGCTTCAATGTAACTTCCCCAGTTTGTCCCCAGATCTTTGAATTTGTGACTTCAGCATTTATAGGATGCTGGTAAAAGCAGATTTCACTTCTTACAAACTGCTTCATCGAAGTTAGCTACATAAAGCCTCGAGGACACTAGTTTGTCCCTGTATGTTATTTTTCTTTTGACACTAAAACCCCTGTGCCTAATTGTGCTATGAATAATCAAAGCATGGCCTCTGATTACAAAGCTGGCCTGAGGAAGGACTACATTTGCATTTAGATTTAGTCAAACAGCACAATGAACCTGATAATTAAAGCCTGTGTTTAAACAAGAGGACAGATGGTTCATCACTGTTCCAGTTGAATTCTTTCTTCCTGCTGCAGTTTCGATGGTTCCAGATAGAAGTGTTGCAAGCAATGGAGAAGAATATCAAGTTGGACGAGGAGTATATTGATGTGAGTGTAATGCATTGGGAAAGCTTACGTTTTTCTGCCTGTGAAATTAAGAAAACTTACTGGACTATTTTAGGTTTTTTGGTTTATGGTAAATAAACCAAACTTTAACAATCCTACAGTGCGACTGTAATAGTTTCAAAATACTATTGCATTCATTTATTTTTTCTTTTTTAATTAACAAAGTACATTTTAAGCTTCCAAGCTTTGTTTCCAGTCAGATCAGCTTGAAATCATCAATAATTAGTAGTTACCCTAAAACTGTCTTAAAGTTGGAACGGGTTAAAAACACAGATGAATAAAGTTTTAAACAAACCCTGTAATCTGTGACAGGAACAGGCCATATTCTTCTCAAGATTTACTTTTAACAAATTTCCTATGTGTGGGACTAATAAGGTTCTCTTATCTTATCTTTAAAAATCACTCCACGTAATTCTTTGAGTGAAAACGGAGCTTCTGGTTCTTTTGTCAGCAATTTCATCTTTGGACTTAATTAGAATAAGAAACAGAGGGGTGCTGCATCGCCAGCAGCACAAGCAGGTGAGAGGACAAAGATGGAGAGCGGTTGACCAGCACTAGGATAAACATGACCTGCTAAGCCTCTTACAATTTTTGTATAGTTTGCAAATAAACTTTTTTTGTGCCGCAGGGCAGTCGCAGAGTGTACGAGCTGGAAGTAAGAAACCAAGCGGAGGCTTTGGAGAAGCAGCTCAGACGGGGAACCTACAGAGACTCTCTGGTAGTTACACAAACATACATAGAAAAATATTATGTGTTGACATTATGCACATTCATATTAATGCACACACACACACACACACACACACACACACACACACACACACACACACACACACACACACACACACACACACACACA